AAAAACAGCTGGATTGGACAGCACGGACTTCAAACTTCATAAAAGTAATGTTAAAACCATATTTAATGATGAATAATTTTTGCCATAATGTGCACGTTTACAGAACGTTTTGTGACCAGGAAGTGCGTGACTGCACCATGAAACCTACTTTTTCCATTTCCTCAAACACACCACATTTCCGAAACAACCAATCAGAACAGTTTCTCGCTACTAGGCTTGTGAACAGAGAGCTGCCGGGCCTCAAAGTTTGGAGACGGGGGAGCCAGGAAGCTCTTTATAAAGAGAGTCAAACCATTACAAACTCATRCAAGGGGATAAAACAGATGTTTTACATGGTGAAATGTGACTGATGAAAACTTAGGAGCTTAATCCGACACCAGTTTGACGATGAATAACGTTGGGTGATGAGTCTGACTTTTGTTTTTTGTTTTTTTCACATTGGACTCCACCGAGAAGAAATTCCATGCATACTGCCTGCTTAAATGTTCGCTAGGTCAGAACTTATTCGGCAAATGTGTTTCCATCTCTGCCTTTGCGCATTAACTCTTACAGGATGGGGGAAATTGGTATTCCTTCTGAAATAAATGAGGGTCCTGGCACTTTTGACTCATCCTGTATATTTAACATACATCAATACCACAAACTGGTTTAATATCCCTTTGGCAAGTTGCACCTCAGTTACACACTTGTTGTACTTCTGGCATAAATCTGGTTGGACATTTGACCATGGTTTTAGGCAAAATTGGTAAACGTTTTTGAAAAATCTTGGGCCAAATACGAAATTGCTTGTTTGGTCTGTTACTACATTTCATCTTTTATGAAGTCTAAACACAACAAACTTGATGGTAGTGAAAAAAAAGAAAACCATAACTAACATCATAATTAAGTAAATAAGTGTACCTCGTCAGTTCAAGTGAAACTATAAGCTTCGTCTGTCAAAGAAAGACACAATCACAACTGGCAAAAATCTATTAATAAAGTATTTATTTTGACGTTGTTACATTTAGATTTCTCCCTCTAGCAGCACTATTTAAATTACAGATATTCAAGGGCAGTAACCATAGACTGTAGTTCTCTTTTAATGCAAGATGTCATCATGTAAACAAAGACGGACACTGAAGAGAGAATTGGACCAAAATGTATCACAACATGGGCATGTTGTCAGTGTGCCTCTAACTCATGTGAGTTWCAAGGACAAGAAACAAGTCGTGTGTCATTTGAGATAAAATTGAACTGGTCAGAATGGACTGAAACAGTACAAAAAAAAACTAAAACAATGTACAGCATCGTGTGACGTTTACAGTTTTTTTTTAAATGGAGTGAAGTCCRCGAACATCAGCGGTGTTGTAAAATGTTCAGTACCAGTTTACAAAGATCACGTGTTCAAACAGATCCAAACAAACAGTTTAGAGATGAAACAAACCCATGACAGCAACATACAAGGACATAAAACTAACTTTTTTTTTTCAGGATCGTGTTTAGTGCAATGGAAGTTGTGATTTGATATTCYAACAACTCCTTTCACCTCTTTAACACCAAAACAAAAAGTAGATTGTAAGTATGGCATATTTCTTCAACCAAAAACAYGTGGACAGAGCAACTTCTTCACTTGTTTTTTGTGAACTTTTTTAAAAATATTTTTTGGGAAAAGTGCTCATTAGGTTAGCTAACTGGAACTTATAACGTTGTATTTAGCCATCCAAATTTGACTTTTATTTTTGTTTCCACAGATATTATAGAGCAATGTTGCTTCATTACTATACTTTTTAACAGTTGTTAACACTGATGTGGTGCAAATATTWCAAGGACTGTATTACCATGCACTAACTAGCCACTGCGATCACAATTTAAAGTGTTGCACAAAGTACAGATTTCGGAGTGCTCAGTGTTTTGAACTGGGTCCTGACTCGACTTCACTTTGTTGTGAAATGAGGTTAAACGAGTCGGTTCGATGCTACACTTGAGAACAGTGATGGTCAGTTCTTCTGATGCGCCTCATTGTCACAATAAAAAAAGGCAATAAAACTTTGGAGCAGCACAATCTTTAAAGGGGACATATCATGCAAAACATCACTTTTTGTAGCCCTTAAATACATTTTGTTGTGCACTTGGGGGTCTCAAGGAGTGCAGAAAATTGGAATTTAGTCTCTTCCAGTATRTTATGTTTGGGTCATTTATTTTTCTATAGTCATGTTACGTTTTTTGAACAATAACATCATAGTATTTGCTGCAGAACTACTAAAAAAAGGTCACCGACGCCATTTACAGCTAATCACTTTTGTACATCCGCAAGTATGTAGGTTCTTCAATCTTGTCAACAAAATATATGTACCGCTAGATAACCGGCTATCAAAAAATAGGCAAACGGGGAGAAGTGGGCCTGGGTGTGAAGTGCCTCATTTACATTTAAAGAGACAGCGTCAAAACGAGTTGCTCTCAGTTGCACTTCAGAACAGGGGTGAAAGAGGGGATTGTGGAGCTAAAATAACAAGGAACTCAGACCAAAGCATTGCAGTTCCACTTTATATCAACTAAATAGGATTTAAAAGCATGATATGTCCTCTTTAATGGAAAGAACAGTCCTTAGACACGTCTTTAACTGGACTTACATATTGTTTACTGCTGAAGCGTAATTGTTTTGACATGATTTTCATTTTCTACAGTTTATTTCTATAATAGGACGCTACACATATTAGTGCAGGGAACAATTCCAGTCTTATATTTTTGTCTTGTTGACCATTTGTGACAATGATTATTTTTCAGTTTTGATTTAATTAAAGCTGAATCTCAAGTCTTTAAATGTTGAGCAGTAACCTGTGAAAATCATAAAAAAAAAGAGTTTGATTGACCAAACTCTCGAAGAGCACTGTCTTGGAAAAACGACCAAGTCGTGCATGTGAAAAAAACAGCCGAGTGTTCGATCAGTTGGGTCGTACAAAGAGGGTCATCAAGTCATTCTGGCRATATTTCGTGACACACTCAAAACAAGAATTAGGTTCCCATAACTGTCTCTATTATTCAAACATACTAGAAGAAAAATATGAACCTCTTAAAAGAGTTTCTCATATTTTGAATAGTCTGCATACTGCAGTACTTGAATACATACTCATACAGTATCGTTTATAGCAAATAACTGAATTATTTCATTTATTTAGCACAAAGCATGCTGAATAGAAAAAACGTCACCTTTTTTTTTAAAAYGGTCTAAAGTGACTGTCTTTTTTTTCTTTTCTTAATCTTCACTCGCAGCTCATTTCTYAAAGACTGCGATCTATCAACAAAGGCATGACAAAAGAAAAACAAAAAAACAAAAAAACAAGAAGCTTAGGCATCTAAATCAATAAAGAGAAAAGTGATTGCCTAAAACTGTTGAGAACCAACTTGAAGGAGTAYTTGTACAAACATACTCCCTTTCCTAAAATAGCACAGACGCCTCTGGACGAGGCACGTAAGAGAATAAATATGAGGGTGTCATGTGTGGGGAAAAAAACAAAACAAAGTGTTGTTTTTGCTGTTAAAACAGGGCCGTTTCTGCTCTGGCTTTTATTTACAATTCTACCTATGGTGTGACATAAGTGTGATTTTTTTTCCCCCACAAAAACAAAATAAAATAAAAAAAAAAAAAACAAGGAAACAGGAAGTGAGAAGGTTTGAGGTGTGCTGTGGAGCACAAGGAGGCACCATACCCAGCTGGGGTAAACACACAACCCCACATTGGTTGGTATTGGTCTTTAGTCATGGATGCACTGAGAGGAGCAAAATAATAAATGAACCAAAGCCTTTTGGGTAAAAACTTTAAACAGACAGATTTAATACACCGTCCAAAATTGTGACACAAACAAGCTGAGTGAACAGTTCAGTACTGATAGCTTTTTTTTTTTTTGCATTGGAATAAAACAGAAAAAGAAAAAAAAGAAATCACCTCTGCTCCAGATCAACGCTACTGTATTAACACAGTGAAAGTCTGGCTGGATGTGGCTACAAAACCAACAGAAAAAATAAAACCCATTGCTGCTTATCTGCTTATCTCAAAAGAAAACTGACCCCGGCCTGCTTTATCGCCAGGTTTGCTTCAACTCAGCCCTTCAAAGTGAGACGACGCAACTCTTAAACAAAACAAAACAAAACAAAACAAAACAAAAAAAAAGAAAAAAAGAAAAAAGAACACCCATTTTATTTTTCCTCCTTACAAATAAAACTTGGCTTTATCGCCAGGTTTGCTTCAACTCAGCCCTTCAAAGTGAGACGACGCAACTCTTAAACAAAACAAAACAAAACAAAACAATACAAAAAAAAAGAAAAAAAGAAAAAAGAACACCCATTTTATTTTTCCTCCTTACAAATAAAACTTGGCTTCCAAAGCAGTAAACTGAGTCTGTTTGCTGGCTTTTTTACTTCATCGTGTTTGCGCTGCTTTCACACAATATAGCCTTCAGTGTCACCTTTGGGAACAATGGTCTTTATCTGGCAAAAGTTACACAGTCTTGCTTCGACCCCCCCCCCCAAAAAAAAAAAAAAAAAAAAAAAAAACAAAAAAAAAAAAAAAACAACTAAATGTTACAGTGAAAAAATGACGAGGATAAGTTCTGGGTGGCCCCAAACACCTTTGTGGCCTTACAGATTCAGGGGATGGGTGACGATGTGGGGAAAATGTCATGGCGTGGTTGCGTCTTAAATAAATACTTCCTTCTTGGTTAGACATGAGCGGCTACTGGCGTCGTAGCTTAAACAATTAACGCTTTCCTGACAGTCGTATGTCAGCTGAATGCCAGCAATCTACTGTATCTTACCAAAACTCCAGCACACAGCTACAAAATGTCAGACAACACATTTATTTCTTTTCAGTAAGGTTTCTTTTTTATCATCACAAAGGCATATACTATTTTCTCTGTATATTAATTGGTTTATATATATATATTTATTTATATTGATATATTATTCATATAGAAACAAAAATATAAGCGTACATTTTTGCTAAATAAGACTGAAGAATATCAGCAAAGGGCAATGTAAACCACAGTCCATCTAAAACAGGTGAAAAGGTACGGTAGCTCACCCTTTCCTCAACTCACCCACAATAACAGATTTGCATAGGCAAAAATGGGATTAGCCCTTAGACAGTGGATTCCTGAATTCTTTATAGAGATGCAAAATATAGTTCAGCTCAACACAAATTTAAAAACAAACATACATAAAAACAAAAATAGTCATAACAATAATGTTGACTAGGCCAAGCTCTCTTTTACCTCTCGGGTCACGTACATTTTCTGTGCACTTTTTTTTTTGTTTTGTTTTACAGTGTTAGGCTTCAAGTAGATCTAAAAAAAATTAATAAAAAAAAACAAAACAACTTGTACATTGAAAACTAAATGTGAAATAAATTAACCAAACATGAGAGGTAGTGAAAAGCCTACAAAGACATTTGTCTATTTTCTTAAATACAAAGAAAAAAACCAACAAACAAATAAAATATCTCAATAAGGCCAAAGCTTTGCAGACCTCCAATCCCATCAGGACACTTCGGCTCTCGACCTTTTGTATGCATGTGTGTGTGTGTGTGTGTGTGTGTGTGTGGGTTAATAAAACCACTGCCGCATTTCAAATACTCATTCACTTGGAACCCATGGAAATCTTCCGAGACAAAAGTCTAAACTCAGCGACGACACTAAAAAAAATCATTTCACATCATCGTCATTGCTTGTAAAATCCACATTTGTAATGCAGGTATTAAAAAATAAACAACCGCGCCGCTCTTCCTCGCTGCGTAAAAGTCTGAATAAATCAAGAGGATAGGACGAAAGCAGGAAACCTGAGTTTCTGCTGTGTGCGTCCTTCCTGTAAACCCCCCCCCCCCCCCCAGTTTGAAACTCGGGAGACGAGTGCCGGCCTTAAACCTGCTGGCGTTCATCTCCCCACTGTTACAAGTATTATATAAGGTATACACTTCTCACAATTTATAAATGTAAACTTACTTTGATTGCACCATGATTTTCATTATCTGGTTCTTGGTAAAACATTCTTGTGTTAGTTACTACTATATAGACCACAAGGGTATAACTATACTGTGCAGAGGAGGGATTTGCCAGTGAGGGAGCTTCATGAGTGACAGTGAAAAAGTCCCGGAGAAGCCAAACGCAGGATCTAAAATGCTTTTTTTTTTTTCCTTTCTSTGAACACATCCTTTCCAAGGAGTAAATGTGAAAACTGACCTTCACTTTCAATCCTCCGCCTCTGATTACCAGGGCGCATGCAAAAGCACAGCTCTCCATTCAAGCAGCCAAGCAGTACCAGTAAATACCTGGTAGATATTAATGTAGTCTGCCTCTAAATGCTGTATTGCCAAAGGTTAAATGATATTTCCTTAATAATTAGCATGGCAAAACTGTGGAGAAATTATTGGGTTCAACCTCTTGACATGATGAATCACAACAGGCTTGTTTCATTCCTCCAGAAACACGTGCAGGTGCTAACAGTTAGCCATAAACTGTGGAAATTACAACATTTTGTTAATCCTGAAATGGTTTTCGGTTCATTTACATGACTTAACAATCCAGAAGTAATCTATAACAAAAAGACTAAACCAATTACACATCAACAACCTGTTGTCTGTTTTTTTTAAAAACATAATTTAAAACCAGACCAAGCTTGGCACATAAACTTCAGGTAGTTAAAAAAGGCGGGAACATAGATGTCTACATTTCTCAGTGAAGAGCAGCACTGTTTCATTGACACTTTTAACACTGCACTAACTAACAACCTGGCCATCAAATGGCATAATAAATGTACACAAGGGCTCAGTTGATTAAAAAAAAAAACAGCATATATACTGCACTCATGCACTTTCCACTGCAGATTCGTAGGCCAGGAACAAAGTTCATGTTCAAATATTCACATCATAAAAAAAACAGCATTCTTTTATGTGCTAAAAATTATTAATGGGACATTTGGCAAAAACCTCTCAACTCGTCTTTTTATTTTCTGTTGAGTGTATTACTGCAATTTCTCACATACACGTTCACTACGACTGCATGCTGTTAAAGTTTGGGTTAGAAAAATAAACCGTGTGTGTGTGAGGGCTGGCAGTTGAAGGGAAGATTGGCATGGCTAGCACAAGCATGCTATTCGCTTGTCTACAGCATGCTTAAACCCATTTGGCTTTGTTGAAAAGGCTTATGTAGCGCATGACTATGTAAATGTCTTTGCTAGCCTGGAATGGTGGCATTATTACACCAGCCCTCTTCGTCAGCACTGGAAATAAAAAATAAGAAAATTTAAAAAAAAAAAGAAAGAAAGAAAGAAAGAAAGAAAGTCTTGAACAGGCAGTAGCTAACTGAGTGACTACCACCCACCAAAATGGCTGAGTATCTGCAGCCTGGTGACAAGTCAAATCAAATAACTCCCCATAGCATCTTTGAAATCATGTTTGGCACRCAGTTCACAAATCTGCTCCTGACTGTTACGTCACTTTCGATGTCTACAACTAAAAAAGACTTTAATAACCCGTTCGATTACAWCTGTTCCCAGGACGTTTGCTACTGTTCCCCAAGTGGAACCATCTTTCCATAATGCTCAATTCTTTGAGACAATATGGTATCCTTTTTTTTTTCTTCCTCAAGTTGTGGTATTGCCCAAACTGTACACCTGTGCTCGTCAGGTTGGGGTGATCCGAGGTTAAGGTGGGGGTGAGGGTAGGGGGAAGCAGATGGGAGGTAGGAGTTGTTGAACAAAACTGCGGTTGCTTCACAGAAAAATCTCCAGCAGCTCTTGTGCTGCCTTCTTCTCAGACATAAAGGCATCGCAATTTTCTCCGTGAAGAGATTTTTGTTGTTGTTGTTGTTTTTAAAGTTCACGAGTAACAAGACAGATGTAGCTGCCCAACCACAATTCTAGCTCCTACTTCTCCCGGTTAGAGGATCCTAACGGAGGAAAGCGCTCGAACGAATGAATGGACGGATAGATGAACATTTGGATAGACGGATGGTCGGTGCTGTGCCGCTACAGCAGCAGCTTTAAAAATGGCTTCAATAAAAAAAATGACTGCAGTAAGCTTCAAATCGGCAGAGGAGTACTTGTTCCCTTCACTGAACATGGTGGTCAGACAGAGATCCAGCTCCCCTGCTTTAATACCTCTCAAAATTCAAAAACTGTTGCAGTCCGCGGCTTATGTCGTCAAGCTACAGTAGAGAGAGAGAGCTGCATGCAGAGCTAATGCTTCTACTGGTGAAAAAAGGCAAAGATTCCCCCAATCCCCACCAACCACAGGGTGTCATGGCTGAACAGTGAATAAATATAAAAGGCAAAACAAAGTTAAGGAATGGAACACAACTTGGAAAAGAAAAACAACAGATAAGCGTGAGAGTGTGTTATAGACAGATTTGTAAAGTGAGAGTGAAGAGCATGAGGTTTAAATAGTACAGTACAGGAACAGTGGGTTTGTCCTTTCTTACTCTCATCCTGTCCTCACCGCCTGAGGAGTCCTGCTTCACAATTAACCAACGCCGGGCCGTCAGCTTGGCCGTTTCAACAGTGACGCGAGTCGGTCGACCAACTGAAACCAACGGCACAAAATTGCTTTCGAAACAATCACTGGCCAGCATTAATGGTCTCAAACTGACCAATAAGCAGCCAGTAAAGGCCGACCTGTCTCCAGTGGACAACTGGATATAAATTGCTTAAAAAATATAAATAAAAGAACAAAACAACCAGCTATTTTGAAAGTTATTCAGTCTTGTCAACCAAAACAGAGCAAGAGAGATTTTCTTTTTCTTTCCCAAACCTGACTTCTGGCACCATATTTGAACTTTAAGTAGTAGTCTTGTTGGCAATGACGAACGGTGGAGAGGTTTAGGTGTCGAGGCAGGTGCGCCTCCTGTTGGCCAGGAGGTCTCTGTAAACGGTGGAGTTGAGGAATCGAGGAAAGGAGTCTCGGTGCATTAGTGTGTAGATCTGGAGCTGGGCGTCCTCGTACATCCGGTTGCTGGGCTCCGCTAGACTCTGATTTATTCCTTCTCTTACCCGTGAGTCCAGGCTCACCTGGAGTCGGGACAGATTAGGAAGTTAGAGAGTTAGGACACAAGAAGATGAGACACACAGATCGTTTATTATTTTGTCTCTTACGTAACAGACTAAATGTTTTATATCCAGTTGTTTTGTTGCAACTCCACCTCTGTTGTGTTTTTTATCAGATGTTTTGTTTCACAAGTTCATTTATTAGATAAAATATAAGCCTATGATTCTGTGTCAACTCACCTCTTTGGGTGATAATATAGAGACATAATCTTCATATATAATCCTGGCCTTCTCCTCCACCACCGAGGGGTTCGCCTCTTTTTTCAGCTCTTCACAGGCCAACCAGAAAAGCAGGTTGTCCTCACTATACTCCGAGCGCAGGAACTCCCTGAAGATCTCCCGGCCTTCCAACGAGCGCAGCATCAACTCAAAGCTTCGTGCCCACGACAGGACTTCCTCTAAACTGGGGCGTCTGCAGTTCATAAAACAAAACAAAACAAAAAAAAACATTGGGTTTGAAATCAACAAAACAACAAAAACAGAAGTAAGCAACGGTAGTGAGAATTTGGCTGCACTCACTGTTCTTCAGCAGCTTCAATACTGTCCATTTTGGTGCAGGTTTGGTGTTCACTTCTCTCAATCCTGTCTTCATTCCTGAATTTGACACAGGAAATGATCATGCACACCAAAATAAAAGCCTGGATGTGTTTTAGGAGGTCAAAGAGACATATTCAAGTTACGATTTGACCAACCTGTAAACGGGGGCGGTTGTAAATATGAACAAATCATTTTCTTCTGAATTTTATCTATATACATACTGATTTTAGGCCAGCACAACAGACACACAACAGACTAAAAGGATTTGTCATTCCAAGAGTAAAGATTTAAGATTAAAACTCGAAGGCTGACATTAGCTGCAACAAAATGTGAACGAGTGTTTTTTAGGTTGTGAAATAATCCATCCACAACCAAAACAATCCGGCCTTCATCTTCATACCAACTGAAAACATCAATGCAGCCGCTGATGGCATTGTACCATGTAGGAATCCATCTGTTGTGGTAACGCCTGCGTCACACATGCCTGAGCTCCAAACCTTCACGTTTTAATTGCTATTTGTCTTACTGAATCTTATGTTGAACCTATTCTTTCTGTACATCATGGGTGTAACATTAACACACTGGATTTCATCCCTTCGGGTATTTCAAACGCTGCCATATCTGTTCATTCGAGTTTTATTTCAGAACAGTCTTTTTTAGCACCGTTTCTTTAGATTCTTATTGAAATACTTTTATGTATCAAACAGAAAAAAGTTTCTAAAAATGAATATATATCTCAAAACACAAAATCACGTGTAAAAATTATTTTGTTAATACATGTCAGAGGTGTTTGAGGGCCGCTATCCTGCACGTTTAAGAGCTTTCTCTGCTCCAACACACCTGATCTGAACCAATGAGTGATGATTAGGCTTCTGCAGGACTTGCTAATTCATTATATCATATTCAATATATGTTTAATTAATTAGAAAAGAACACCATTAATTGAATAATCTAGTTTGGAATCGTATCAAGCCTGATACCAGCGTTTTTGCAAGTACTTGTACTCTTTCAAAATGCCCCGATACCCAGAACGATACTAATTCTTTGCATGGACGTTCACATTTTTTTTAAAAATGTGACCTCCATTGGACTCCAGTGTGAATGCCTTATGCCATCGATGAGAGCCGCATGAACAGAAGATGACATGATGTCACAGCATTCTGTTTGCAGAAGTTAACAGGTCTCTATTCGTGGATGCTAAATGTTAGCATGTCTATACTAAAGTTACTGGATCAACAGCACGTTTCTTCATTTCACAAGGTAGTGCTACACCAGAGCAGCTGACCAGAGGCAGGTTCAAATAGAAACAGTGAACAAAACCAGCATGTGTCAGCTAATTATTTAGACAGCTTTGAATTCACAACAACTTCAGAATCGACATGCTAACATTTAACATCTCCATCATCCAGGACATGGAAAATTWAAAAAAAAAATACAGCAACTGGACATCTGTTTTTTTAGCAAAAGATGTGCAGAGTTCCAAGTTTTAAACTGAAGGAATCAAGATTAATGTCATTACTATTACTTGGATCTCTCCGTATAACCCCACCTCACTGATGTTAAAGTTGAATAAAGTGCGACACGACCCTTCAGACTGCAGTTGCTTTGAAAAACTTCAGATACGTATCTGATTTTGTAACACAGCATTCCTACAGTTTAAAGCAAGTTTAATTGAAGACTTTTTAAGACTTTTTAATGCCAACTGAAATTTAATTTAAGACCAATTTCATAATAAAACACAAATGACAAAAAAATAAAAATAAAACTGTAGCAGAAACTCACAAATTAAAGTATTTTTGGTTGAAGTATTCAAATAATGCTAACAGACCAATTGTTTTTATCCATATCCAACTGCTTTTTCGTCAAATATATCAAAAACATTCTTAGCAGTCAGTTTAACAACCCAAAATTTGRAGTTTTATCAGTACTCGGTATTGACAAGTATCCAAACTGTAGTACTCAAACTCTATTTGAGAAAAACTGGTATTGGGACACYCCTAAATCCAACCATTGAATCAGGTGTGTTTGAGCAGGGAAACAAACTCTTAGATGCCCTCAATGACCAAGATGAAAAAAAAGATAAATAAAAAGAAACTTGGAGAATTCTAGCCATAGTATTTTTATTTTGAAAGGATTTTAAAGTTGAAACTATGGTCATGGGTGAGGTCAACTTTACTGTAGATGTATACCCCCCACATTGATCCACTGAACCAAGAAATATTGAGGAATATCAAGACCCCTCAGCTAGCAAGATTAGCAACAGCACATGTCTCTGCACCCAAAGTCTCTGAGGATTTTTTTAGCTGCAGGACTTGGAATGATTAAACTCGAATCTACTGCAAGTCTAAACCATGTGAACAGTCTTTTAAGTAAAAACATGAAACAGGCAGCCGTTCTAAATTATAAGGCAGCTGCTCAGATTAGCCCTTGCTGCTTCTAAACTTCCCAACAAATTTGAATTGTTGAGTGTTTTTGGTTAAAAATACCCATCCCAAGTTACAACGTGTTTTCTTTCCCTGTTTCAGCTGTTGATCATACCCAGATAAAAACAAAGTTTCAGTTCAACCCCTCCGAACAACATGGTAGTCTCCATGTCTATCGTAGCTCAGTCACACTTGCTGAATCCCCAATGCAGCACACACTCAGCAGTCTATTTTTGTCCCACCATGGAGGATCTTTCCTTCCTCTTGCTGTCTCTTGTCAAAGTCCCTATTGTGCAGCAGTAATGGGCTAAGCCAACCACAGCCCCCCTGGCGTCCTCACAATACAGTTAAATATACAGGCTGCTCTTCACAGCTGTTTTGCATGTGATGTGTGGATGAAAATAGAAGGCACCCCAACCAGATAAGGGTCCTTGTGTAAAGAGTGGGAGAGGATGCTTTGTGTGGCCTGTTGATATTTTCAGAAAAAAAGTCAGCCCCTAATTTCCAACGCTTGGCATTAGACGAGATCTCTGACTCAWAAACTTGTATCCAGCACTGGAATGAGCACGGTGGTCGAAAAATATAAAGTGAACAAACAACCCTTAGTAAGGCTGTATCTGTCAAATATGCAGAGCAAACCATCCAACCTAGTAGGGCACCATAGTAAATAAACACACATTACTGAGGACAGCTATCCAGGGTAGGTTTGGAGATCCAGCGCCAGCGTTGGACTGATAAAAACATGCAGCAGAGTCACAGTCCACAAGCTGCCGCCACTTCAGATGAAGTGCTGTGAAAGAAGCTGTACATTCACCATTCACAGCTGAAAACAATGTTTCATTCACTCCTCCCTCCTGGTAAGAGAGGAGAGCCACAGTCAGGCAGCTGCAGGAGCTTCATAGCCATGGACAGCTTTAGTGCTTTGCTCAGGGGCGATATATGCACATCCAACAGAGACTTTCAGTTGATTTTCATTCAATCTTTAATGTATGCCAGCATGATGAACAAATTTCCAAGCGTTATACTTTAGGGCTGCATGATATTAGGAAAACCTGCGATGTGCGATAACAGTCCTTAATATTGCGATGAGGACATTACTTGCAATAAATGATCAAATACGTATGTATGTAGTGCTGATATCTTTCAGCTCTGGGTTCAAAACCCAAAAAACAACATAAAAATCAACTAACCATTTCCATTCTAGCCTGAATTTTTTTTTAAATGACCAAATACATGAAGGGCTCCATTTGATTGGTGAAATACTGTATGTCAAGTTTTCCTCTGAATGACAAAACGCATAAATGCAAACTTTTGAGTCAACGATTTACTGCAGTTTATGCAGTTGTTGCGATATGCATATTGCACAGGCTATTATCGCGATGRCAATACATTATTGATACATTGTTTAAAACTTTATAGTGTGACAGGACCTTTAGTCCACCTTCATAATGTGTTAGTTTGTAGCACAAAATTTGTATGTACTGACTTGAAGTAATTGCCTTTCATGACCTTATCAGTTCTAAACCTTATAGAATCAATTACATGTAAAATATAATGTCTTCTTTTTCATTTACACTGGAAYGTCTTTAATAGAAAAGACAAAAAACAAACTAAATAAAAAGACGAAGGAAGGACTTTTTTTTACATGACTGTCATTATTTGTAGACTCATCCAAGAAAAATAATATTGTTTGACCATTATTCTAGACCCACTTATCCATTATTTACAACAAATATTTGCAGTTTCAGTATTAGTCACTCAGAAGCTGCAGAAAACAATAAGGTAGAAATTTTTGTCCAAGTGCAGTGACTTCCTGGAAATTTTGCTTGCTTCTCTAAATAGCACACTTGTATTTTTACATGGTTTGAGTGCAGCTTGAACAGATAAAAACGCAGAAGCAAGTTACAAAAATGAGTAACAGGAAGCTTAAAACATTATCTTCAATTGTTCAACACACTAATATAAGTTCTAAAAAGGGTGTCAAACTGTTTCCTCAACAGGCGGTAAAGAAACGTTAAACGTTAATAAAAAGACATTCAAATATGGCACCATCCTATACTCCTTGTATTTGTGTTTCCTGTGATACAAGCAATAAAGCCAAAGAAACTATGATAAATACTGACAGGACTTTATATAATATGCAAGTCGAGTCTTAGATAATTAGCTTTCAAAATAGAAAAAAGTTATCCTCCACAGTGAAATAAAAATTACTGGTATTTGGTCTGGTAGAGTTCGTTCTGTTTCAGAACAAAGTCTGTATTTATTCAGCTGTTTTTTTTAGAACTCAACATTAGCAAGATTAGGACAAACTCTTATTGTTTTCTAAGTTAAGTAAGTTTCCAGCAAAAAGACTATTTTTGTCAGTTCTGAATACTGAGACTTAGATAAGTAGGCCTACTCCTGTTAGCAAAGACAACCAGCCAGTGTAATCTGCAGCATGTGCTACCTGCTTCTCATCAAWATAATGTCTAGAGTGCTGCACACTGACAGTGATTATTTTTACTCCCACGCGTTACTTTGCTTTGATGGTAAAGTGTATTCTTCCGTCATTGGTCCTTTTCAAAGGCTGTAGTCGCTGCATTACAATTATTTTCTTCAAATAGATGGTAATGGAACCCCGCATAAAAAAACCCTTTGTGCTGCAGAACCAATAAAGACTACATTGTAGTTACTATTTCTGCAAAACAGCTAAACAATACAAGCATTCATTTGTTAAACATAACCAACAACTTTACTGCAGGATAAGGGTAACAGAAGAACATGGAAATGCACACTAAATGATGAGCGCTGAACTCCAGCCAAGTTTCAGTCACTAGTCAGGCAGTTTATGCTGTTTGTGTCAAGTTAATATATGCATAAATCAACCTGCAATTATTAATTTTTATTTCTGAGCCAATGAAAACTCAGAGCTCACATCCTTTCACCATAAAGAAAAAACGCAACAAGTGGGAGTTGTGAAGCAACATCATCCTTTGCTTTGCTTTCTCTCAATCTACTAAAGAAAATCAGTCGCACCGCTTCAAGCACTGAACTACACTGTTTTTTTTAGCATCCAAGTCAGATCTGATCACATGGTTTGAGTAGGCGCTATGATTGGTTAAGGCACTGCAGTCAGTAACTTTATTTTGAGCTGGGCTACAGCTGATTCTGTATAATTTATTAAGAAAAGAATACTTCAGAGGCTGGATGGGATCAGTTTGAAGACAGATTATGACCCAGGGGCACCACTTGATAACTGACTGATTAGGGTGGTATCACACTTGGCTGTGACTGTTGGAGACTATTTGGTGACTCAAAATAGTGAGAAAATATTTTTAAAAAAGTTGCATGGA